TACGAAGAGAGACAGCCCTTTAACTTAATCTTAAGAAAGGGAAACAGGGAAAAATGTGTGCCAAATTACGCAAGAACTATACTAAAGCTCAGTGGCAACAGGTCTTATGGAGCAAGGAGTCCAGATTTGATATTGTTGGTTCAAATCATTGTCAGTATGACAGTATGTCAGTATGACATACAGAACAGGTCTGGGGAGAGGCACAACAGTGACCATCTACGGCCACCTGCAAAACATGGTGGAGGCTCTGTCATGGTCTGGGACTATATTTTAGCTAACTAACTGATGAGTTATGAATACAGATATGTAGCATCAGATTTTTTATCCACCATGCAATACCACTTGGAAAGCATTTCCCACCCACATTTCCCCAAACACACTGCCAATGAAGAGATTATACCTGGATAGAATGGATCAGTCGTGCTCTACTCTTCAAGGGCTGAGCATCTCTTTGAGGAACTTTAATACTTTCTGTTTGCATGTGTCCACATAAAGTAAATGAAATGAGATGTATGCATAAAGTAGAAAAGGTCCAAGAAAGCAGGGTATCAATGCAGCTGTGCATGTTATTTATGGACAAAATAAATGGCATCAGTGTTGGCACAGTAACTGGATCCCTGCAGGAGCAGGGGGTGTGAAAGGAGGATTCTTTTGCGGCGATAATGGCCTCTATGTTGTGTGAGAGAGCAAAAGAGGCATGTAAGATTGATTGATTGTAACATTCCAATTACAACACACAAACATGTCACCAATCTGACAGCATGGGTCTGGAAATACTTAAGATTTAGCTCAAATGGCGCTAACCAAGAAGAAATTATATGTGAAGATAAGTGTGGAATTCTGCGTGTATCGTGAAATAACAACTAACTTGTTCAACCACTTGAAAATGCACCACAAACTGCAGGAAAACCATGAAGGCTAAGAAGAACCTTGTAACGTGAATCATCAAAAAAATCCAGCTTAGTCATCTATGAGATCAAGGCTGGAGCGCATGGCTGTATATCCATCCGGCTCACAAAGACACACTGAAATCATTAACCCAATCACATTCTGTTTGTCCAACATGTCCAATAAATACAGTGAGTAGGGAATACTTCAGGAAAATAGTTGAGCGTTTTAATAAGAAAGCAGCAAAACCCACTCTGTACACAAAAGCACCCAATTGTTGCATACAACAAAAACATTTGTGTCACTAAATGCACAGAGGTTAAAAGCACACCTTTTCACTGGATGTGGCAGATTGCAACATTTTGGGAAGCGTTCACAGTGATGTAGAATATTGCTTATTTTCTCATTAGAACTGAAGCTGTTTCTACTTAGTTTGTAAAAGGATGAACAACTAAAATGAACATTAATAAACCTGCCCAAAAGTTAATGGTCCCGTTTTGGAACAAAAAAAAAAGAAAGTTAGATCACACTAGATCAGGCAAACCTCCGTTCAAACCTTCCACAAGGACAATTACCATTGAACATTTTGTATTTATGAAGATTTCTTTATGTGTTTGCTTGAAGTGAATTGTGTGTGGACTGGGAGGAACAGTCATTTTGTTTTTGTTTTAAAAAAGTAAAAGTGTCGTTTTAATTTTAGAAAATTTAAGTTCAAAAGTTTCATTTACTCAAGGCTTTATTGGACAGTTCAGACCTAAAAAGCCTGTAGTCTGCAAAAATGATGCACTGCGCTGGGATTTAAAAAAATAAAATAAAATCACAAGGTATTTTAAAAGAGCAGTGAAGACAGCCAAAACGAGGGGAACGACTGAGCAAGACTGGATGAGAGATGGTGAGAGAGGGAAGAAACTGGAGTGAGATAGAGACCTAAAGCGCTCCAGAAGCCTGTCACATGGGGCCTGAAGACGCACGCCTCAGCACTCTTCCTCTCTGTGTTCTGTCCGCTCCTGACATTTATCTGCTTTATTAGATTATCTGGGCTACATGGCTGTCTCTGACTGCATGCAAGCACACACATACACACACCTCTCAATTCATTACAGTCCTAACTGCTTACTTAGGTTTATGCCCTCTTTAAATTAAACCTCAGATAACCAAGCACCTCAGAAAACACGGTCCCCTGAACGTGGACAGGAAGCTGAAACTAGCATACCGAGCAGGAAATTAAGAAACATTGTTTGCGAGTATATTATCATGCATGTGTGAGTGGTCATGAGGTCGGTTTTAAACAGGCTCATCTATAGGGAATGTGCTTCCCATCATTAGTAATTCAATTTGCGCTTTATTAGCAGCTCTTATCAGAAGCACAGACGGCTAAGAGCAGCATTCCTCACTCAATCTTCTTCCACACTCATCCACATTCCACCTTTCCTCTGTCTCTAATGTCCATCTTTAATTAGAGATGCATGTGTTCCTGTTGTTGTATCACATGATATAAAAAACTGAGGGCAAAGATGAAGATAAGGAAAAGACTAAATGATTTAGGAGGTGTGGGAATAAGAGCATGAAGTTGTGTTAAAGCATCAGAAAAAGAGGAACAGAGTTTAAGATGCAGAGCCATGGGGACGAATAAAGCCTAATGTTAATAGTGATGGTTTTTCTAATGTCTTCTGACTCCATTGAGTATGGGAGATTACACGAAGATGGCCATGAGCCGTGTAGGGTACACACAAAATGACCGGAGGGTTCGAGGGGCAAGTGGAAGCAGGAAGGGGGGAATGGAGGGAGAGCGGGGTTGGGGCTGTAAAAACAATGATTGCTTTCCATCAGGTTAGGCCTATATTCTACAGTTCGTTAAAACAATCCAATTTGCAAAAGGATAATTATGCATTAGCTCCTTTTTATCTACTGGAAGGAGAGTGGTGCCAGGGCTTGATAGCAGTGGTGCTGCCTGCCTCCACCTCTGCAAATTACCCGCTATCGGCACTTGTTCGCCATCACCGCTGAATTGGGCAATCAATTAACCCACCCCCCCTCCTCTTATAGTCTGCCTGTACACCTCCCTGTGACAGCTTGCAACACAAAGCCCCTACAAGGATGACATGGATGGAAACTGCTGCCCTCTGCTGGACATGGCTTCAATTAACTAGCAGCTTTGTACCAGTTCTACGTACATTACAAAGCAGACACTGGCTGGTAGAGTATGCATTGTGTTCACACTGGATCAATTAGAAGCACGCTGAACAAAAACTAAAACAGCAAGCAGAAAGAAGCTTGGTTTTGCCCATTTTTTCTATTATCCTACATATCAACGATGCAAACATGATAAACTGATGTTTTCCTCCTACTGTTAGAACCTCTGGAGCACCTGCTCTGTGGTTAGCTACTGACAGGTTCTCAAAATGAACCATGGAAAGACTGGCTATTAACAATAAATGTGACATACTATATACAATTTATAGATGTAGCCACCACCATGATGTTGTGTTTTCGGAGACAGCAGTGACAAAGTTTAGACAGGAACATGGATTGCCAAGGTGATGAGCCAAGTCATGAAGTGCACTGGTGCGAGGCACAGACACCTACCTTGATTGACTGATTAATCAGCCAATCAGTGGTGCTGCCTGCCTCCACCTCTGTAAATTACCGCTGCTATTACTGCTATCAAGCCCTGGTTGATTAATCAGTCAATCAACATAGAGCCTTAACAAAATGCTCCTCCCTGCTTCACAGGGGGTCATTACACCAAGTGTCTCTGCATATTTGATTTAGCAGATTTTTGAACCGGATACCCTTCCTGGCTCAGGCACTACTACATTGTACAGTCACAAAGAGGTGAGTTGTAATAAAAATAAATAATTAAATCACCCTCTGTCTAACAGAAGGGCAAATTAGCTGTAGAGACCACAAATCTTTTTCTTTTTGCAGCAGCAGGGTATAAACATGCTAATTTCACCTCACATGCTGGCCTTCAAGCATGGATGTCTGGGGACTGTCTGCAGTTTGTGACACTTCTATGTTGATCAATATGTTGATTCTGTATCTCTGTGTATCATTAATGGGTGGAAGGGTGGATGTGTGGATGGCTGGGCCTGGGTCTGGGGCTTGCTGATCCTTGGCCTTGTAGGACATGGTCATAGAGGGAGGGGATCAGCTCCCCCTTCCTGGGATGAGGGTACTAGTTGGTTCCAGGATGCTTGACAGGATGTTCTGGTATGGACCCACTCTCTTGGTGGTCTGGGGTGGCTTGGACTTCTTCCTCGTCTGAGGGGAGGTCTGCCGTGTCCTGGGTGAGAATTCTAGTGGGGTCGACTGCTCATCGCCTCTTGTCCTCTGGGACTCCCACCTCTTGGCCGTGGGCACCCCATCTAGGGGCAACCTCCTTCTCTGGCTGGGATGTGTGGCCTTAGGTCTTCAGTACTCTCGAGGGGGCAAATAGCCCAGTTCTCCAGGATCCATCTCTGCCTGCCTCTGACTCCTGGGAGACGTTATTGCGGCTTCCCACCCTCATTTTCAAGTACATTTTGTGGCAAAGACACATACACATTTACATTCCACACTCTCTTTCTCTCTCTCTCACATTCACACACCCCACAAGAAGATTACACAGATATATAAATCAGCATTTTCAAATTTTTGTGTTGGAGGTCATGTATGTTTGTTTTTCTTGCAGGTGTGGTAGACAGCAGTACATAATGCATTTCTATTTGTACTCTATCCTGTTATTATATCTTCATATAAATTACATCTTTCCCTATTTTTCCATGTTTTTCTAAAACTAAGCATATGCCTAACCATGACCAAAGTCCACACAAAACATAAGCATAATAAATAACTCCAGGAAGCAAAACAGGTATGCTTGCTTGATATGCAGCTGGTGACTTTGCGGCTTAGAGTTGTTACAGCACCACCAAATGGTTGTAGAATATTACTGCTCTCAACCAAATAATGGGTGAGGACACGTGTTTAAAAGAAGATTTATCACCCACAGCTCTAGGATTTTCTGCGTAAACATCCATGTATGGTTGACACGTCAGCAATTAGTCATAGAATACTTTACAGCAGAGCAAAATAACAACTTTCTACTTTGGTCTGTAGTGTGTGCTTCTTACTTGTCTTTGATGAGACAGGGGAAAGCCGCCTCAACTTGTGTCTACCAAACGACACAAGCTCCCTGGTGGGTGTCCTCCTAACTCCTGTGGGAGTCCTGGCCAAAGTATAGATTCTGCCCTGGGGAGAGTGCTTCACAGCTGGTGGGCTCACCTTCTCTGATCCACTGCCACTGTGGTCACAATACAGCAGGCAGACACACAGCACAGTCAGAAGGAGTAAAAAACTATTAAACATAAGAAATCTTAAACTCTGAGTTAATGAACTCTGAGATGGGAAATTGAGTGTTTAGTTCCAAAAAAGCTGTTCAAAGTTCCTTATATCAACTCTGAGTATGTTCACTCTGAGACATGCATGTGCCCATTTACTGGGAACAAGAAAAACATCAGTGGAATATACCATGCAGATCTAGATTCATATATTTAAACAGTGATTACTACAGTAACACAAAGTTTATCACAGAACCACCTCTTATTGGAGCACATCACCACGGTCATTTCTAACAGCACACAATCAATAAGAGTTTTATGCCCTGCAACCCTCGAGACATAATGTGAGGTCTTTCTGCATACTCACCTTCAAGTGACTACCAAGTAGGATTAGCTGGTGTTAAGGTAAGTGAAGCTATCCTAAAGATATCCTAGTAACCATGAATCTGATTCATAATAAGATGAATGTCAGTTACCCCAATAACTAAACCAGAGTTTAAATTAATGCTCTAGAACAGAAATCTCATGTTGGACTTAACAAATCCAGAGCTTTCACTAAACCCTCCTTCTCAAACAGAAACCAGAGGTTAGTATTAGGTAAATCATTTTCACCTTATCGGTGTAAACATCCTCCAAACATGAGCAAGGACACACTGAATACTTGGCTGATCCCTACTGACAAGGATGCAGTATATATTAGGGGGTAGGGCAGTAAAAAGCCTCAACAAGAGCCATCATGTCATGTGCATTATTCACCTGATAGTAGACCTTCTAATAATCTTCATCCTGCTGCGCAGCTTGAACCCTCCAGGCGAGGAGGATGACAACATGGAGGTGCGCTGAGGTAAACTTAGGGGCACAGAAATCCCTCCTTTCAATCCTTTGTTACTTTTCTCAGCTGTCCAGTGGAAAGCAGATCTACGGCGGTTTGCTGTTGCTCCTGCTGTCCCTGCCACAGATGTACTCTGGCCCCCTGCTTTCCAGCGATAGCGGCTACTCTGTGAGGTGCCAGCAGAGGACACTGCAATACCTTTTTTCAATTTTACAGAAGGAGAAGAGCCTGGTTTAAGTTTCCTTGTGGCCTCTCCTTTGTCCAGACTTCTCTGTGTGAGAGTCAAGGGTTTGGGAGATGGAGGCTTACGAGATGTCTTAGCTTGGGCTCCTGCAGAGGACACCCAGCGGTACTTTGAGGTCTTGGCAGCTACAGTGGGCTGGCTAAGCTTTCGAGGTAACTTCTTAGCAGCGGTTCTCTTAGCAACTACAAATGAAGGGGGGCTTTCAATGGCAACTCCAGATTTCAAGACAGATGTTGGGGCAACAACTGCTGACGGTGTTGAAAGAGAGCTCAGTGGTTTGAGCTCTGCTCCTGCAGCACTCTGACCCTTTACCCAAGTGAACTTTGATTTATTTGAATATGAAGTATTGACCTGGGCTTTGCTGCTTTGTAAAGATGAGTTAGAGGAAGCTTGTTGTAATGCAGTAGAGAGACCAGCTGTGAGAGTTACCTGAGATGTATTAGCAACAATCTGTTGACTGTCTGTACTGGTTCTGCTTTTCAGGGAAGGTCCGATCTTTACTTGGGAGCTGCTCTGCTGAATGGCTGAGGTACTGGCTGTGGCTGAAGAGGCCACTTCAAAAGAAACACCAATTTTCTTTCCCTGCAGGCCTGTGTTCCTGCTGTCAACCCTCTGCGTAAACTCTGATGCTGACCCCATTTTTCCAAGAGCATCACTGTTTTTTTTCTCTGTTGCTACATCTCTACTCTCTGTTATGCTGCTTATATGTTCTTTTTTCTTCAGCTGAGATGTCTCTGATGATATAGTGGCAGTCCTGCTTCCCGTGCTGAGGCTGGGCAGTGACATGCTGTGAGAGTGATGGACAGTGGAGGAGGCAGAAGCTGAGGGATGTCCAGCAGAGGACTCGGGGTTCTTGTTTCTCAGAGAGTATGTTTTCCTCCAACTTCCACAGCTCTGAGGAGCATAGAGTCTTCCTCTGGAGCTGGGAGGGTAGATCATAGATGCACTTTGACCTCGGCCCCTGGCTGGCACTGAAGATTGTGTGTGGCTCTGCTCAGTTCCTGTAAATGGTGTATCGCCATGGGTACTTTTATGTTTGTTGATGAGATCTGGAAATTTGAAAACAAAAGTATTTTTAAAAAAAAAAGTCCAACAAAACCATGCAAACAAATAATCATTAAAATTAGCTGTACAACATAATTAACGCCCCATTTCTCAATTCTAAGTTATGTTTTTAAGAATTTAATTTGAATTTGATTTGTAGTTTTCACCATTTACTTTAGAGGGCTTCCGTCAGGCTGCTTAGCCTACAGTGGCCAACATCTGAAAATGTAAAACCTAAAGAAAATCTCTGGAAAATAAAACACATTTTATGGCCTTAATATTCTTGATTTCATTGTTAAATGTTTGGCAATTTTGTAAGAACCTGCTGGAACCCAGGTGCACTTTATTTAACCTAATGTATTGTATTACTCATTCTTTTTTAAACTAAATCAAAAAGAAAAGAAAAAAAGAAGGGATAATGGTTCTTATAGTTATCTCATGGTTATGAGATGGAAAGAGATAAAAGATTAAATGAAAAACCTCCCGCTATCGTCATTTTAATGACTTGGTGTATTATGAAGGTCACTCTTAGAATTTGTAGAATGCCACAAATTGTGAAATACTGGGCTGTTATCAGTATTAAAGTTTAAAAGAAGAACTTGACACCCAATACCTGTATGTTTTTGCATTAATGTATTTTGTATTATATATTTATTCCTTCACCTTTTTCTGTCAGGCGAAAAAAGAAAGAAACAAATAAATAAATAACCTGTTTTAAATGTTTTTCAAAGTTGTTAGTTATGATTATTTGGTCAGTGGAAAACTGACATGAGACAACAGCTAAATATCCACAATTGGCACACTTATAATATACTGATAATCCACCAACACAGCAGCAGCTATGGAGCACCAGAAGTGTCACAGACATTGAAACAAAGTATTTTGTGATTTAATAATTACTTGTACAATCAAATATGAATTAGCAAATTAAAAAATATATATACTTGAACTTCTATTATGTAATTAGACATTAATAAAGTTCATGTTATTTGTTAATTTAATAGAATAAAATAGAAGGAGGAATTACAAATTTGTAGTTCTAAATTAATTATAAATCCATTGATAAAATTATTTAAATGGAAAAAATAATTCTCAATAAAAATCTCACTAAAGACATTTTTGAATTCAAAACAAAAATAAAAAATGACTTTCAAATAAAGTAAATGGATTTTTTTTAAAAAAAAAGCAAATTAGGAATACAAATGTGTTTTTTCTGACATTTAAATAATGACTCTGCTCCTCAATACCATTTCCATTTCCTATTAGCTGCTTAATTGACTATTACATCAACTACTTGATTAGCTTCTTCAATGAGCATTTCCATAACTCTTTTGGTGAAAAAGCAATGTAAGTAAGCAACACAGTGTAATGTCCGGAGCTCTCTGATTGGTTAGAGAGACACAGGCGCAAGGAGAAAGTATTTTTTGTTTTTATACTTTTTAAAAAATTTCCTCACTTTATTGTTTAAAACAATCACATATTAGTGACACTGAAGAAAAAAATAATGGGTAAGATGCGAGTTAATGTTCTGAGAAATAAAATTGACAATGTTAAAGTTGGAAATGTCCAAAAAATGAAAAACAGCAAATTTGTCAATAAAAACAAAAAAAAAAACAAATAGCAAATTAAGAGAAAATAACTGGGAAAAATATACATCTTCTTTAGTCAATGACATCACTTCACTTTTCCAGGTTAAGATGGCAGGATTTCCACACACTAATCTCTTAAAACATATGCCCTCCAATCTGGACTAACAACAACGTCTGTCAGTCTATCTGCGGTTGACTGTGTCCTGAGACCATCTATCATTTTTTTAATCATCTTTAACTCTGTTTAGTGTGCAACTCAAAATACAAACACAGAGGTGGTCAGATAGTAACCATAACACAAAGAAAGCATACAAAAGGAACAAGGAACATGATATTTTGAGTGCTATACCTAAATCCTAAATTTCGTGAATCGAAACCAGTCAGAAAATTCTACAGTACCAGAGCCGGTGATATTAGTATAATTATTTTAAGGGAGAAGAAATCTTGTCTGTTTTTTAATTCTTTTTTTTGGAGGGAAATATCATAAAACCTTTTACTCGTGTAAGCTAAATAAGATTGATGACTGGAAACATTCAGATTTTAGGTCCTGGTGACCGTTTACTTCCCCAGTTAATTGTAATATAACAGTGGAACACTGCAAATCAGCATCAGAGCATACTGACAGTGTAACAGGCTCATAATACTCCATCCTTTACTCGCTGAGTTTACTCTACAGATCCCTATAGGAAATCCTGGAGACTGACCAGTGTCAGGAAGGAAAGAACATCTTTCAAAATAACTCTCATTACTTCCTTCGAGTAAGAGACTTGAAAAATATGTAGCAGTGAGTTTTTTATGCTTTTCTGGAGGATTATACACTTGTTTTCCGCTCTGTCGCTATGCTATCTAGCAAATTGTTAATAACTATTTTAGTACTTTATGTAAATTAATGTATGACTATGCCTTAAAGTTAAGTAATTAAAACCAGGTTTGTTATGGCGCTGTGCTGTCATCACTAGTGCGGGGGGACTATAAACAGGACTGAACCTTTATGCTGTTACAGGGAGCTGACACCGACATAAACAGCCGTTTACTTCCTGCCAAAGGAAAACAGGAAGCATTCTTCAAAGGACACTAACGGCTCTGTTAAGACACGTGAATACCGTTAAAAAGTATGTTACTGCGTAGAGGTGGCACAGCGCTAACTGTTATCCTTCAACAAAAAGCGTACGACCGACAAGCTTCAAGCAGCCGTGAATTTAAAGTGCATAACAACCTTTGTTAACCCGCCTGTAACAACTACAATAGTCAACATTTGCCGAGAGAGACTTACTTTGTAAAAGTTCGATTTGTCTCTTAAGTGCTTCTCTCTCCTCCATGTTTACGACTACAACCTTTCGTCATTAAATTGCGACGCCCTTAAGAATGACGTATTTCATGTTGGCCAATCACAGTCTGAAGAATGATGTACGCTGTTTATCCTCAGTATTGACTTACGGGCTTGACATTTAACTCAAAATGGGGCGTAAGAATGGGGCAGTAGAATTTTCTTATTGGTTTATTTATTTATTTTATTTACTGCTGTGGTGAGCAGGGTTAATTTTATTGGAGACGTAAAATGTTACTAAAACACAATAGACCACAATTAGACCATAGGTCTAAATGACTTTTCTGTAAACAGTAACCTTATTAAGGCAATGCATGATTGTGCTTTGAGCAAGAAGAATCGGCTGCCTGCTTTCCAGAAACTACTTTCCGTGCAAAGGACTCCCTTTACTGTGTCTGGATTAACCAGATTCCTTCAGGCACGTTGATTGTAATGCATTTTTTAATACAATACAACTAAAAGACCCCTTTTCTGTATTGATTCTTGTATGGAAATCACAGTGAGAACAAACAGAATGACTAAACAAACTATGAACCGACTTTCAGCTACAAAAACAAACAATAACAATAAAATGAAGCTCCAAAGGCAGATCACACACCACAAGATAATTAATTGCCCCGAATGTAATATGCACGCATTTATAAAATGTGACAAAACAAGCTTGAATCATGTACTTATATCATATTAGTACATGAATAGCAATATGTAGTCAGCATTCTTGAAGCTGGATTTTCAGATTCAACTGACAAAGCCATTGGGTGTCTGTAAGACTGTACTGAGGGCTTCATTTGCAAATCTCCTGTCGTTGATGTGCAGCTGGCTGACAACCGATTTGAAAACATTACCGTCATTTCGGAAGATTCTCTGTATTTGCGCTTTACGAAGTTTACAATTCTACTCAGGGAAGTTGTTTTTGGCCAAAAGTGTGTTCGTCTGGTCCAAAAATGTTTCTATGAACTGTCACGAACAAAATACCAGTGACGCTGCTGCGAAATGAAATGAAAGAGGAAGTGAAAGTTAAGGCAGCTGATTGGACGTAAAACAAAAAAGAAAGAAGACAGAAAGAAACCTCTAAAGTTGCTGAATAATTGAAGGTAAAGCTAACTAACACGGAGGTTTCTTTTCAAATAAATACTCGTTGGAGAGACTGATGCAGACGGTCTGAAGGTTTAGAATTATGAACAATGTTGGCTCCGTTTTCAGTTTGAACTCTGCTTGTTTGTAGAGTTGACATTGTAGCTCGTTAGCCAGCTAGCTTGAGTGCTGGTGTCAAAATTGATAATAGGTATATTGTTTTCTTGTTTTGTGTTCACACCTGTCTGAACAACACATTTGTGCTGTGTGTGTTTTCTGTGTGTCTCTGTACAGTAGGTACCCATTTACATCTCCTGGCTCGGCAACATGGCATCAACAGAAAATGTGTACTTCATCTTAACAAAGTCTGAACGGAGTTTTTTCACAAAAGCTGGAAGTATTTTTTTTATGCCTTATTATAAGTACATGTCAGAAATCAAGAAATCCCCCCCTCCATTAAAGCTACGAATGTGTTTAATTAACTACGACTCTGGAATAGACTATGTCTTGGAGGCCAACGACATGGAGCAGCTGTGTGTAGAGGAAGTTGAGCTGCTGCAGGCACTGCCTGATGATGCTGAGAGGCTGAGGTGTTTCCGAGAGCGACATGATCTGCAAGCAGCAATGCAACTTGTTATAGGCAGTGAAGTGACTGTGGAGGAAGCTGGGAAGAAGCTCAGAGGCATCATCCGTTACTTTGGACCCATAACAAAGGCATCTTTTTTACATCCCGTACCAGGATCTTTTTTTGGAATTGAACTACAGGTTTGATATATATTTTTTTTTTTATCTTACTCCTACTGGCGTATGCACAATGCATACACATATTTTAGATTTCATTTTGGTTTAATATTTCTGCCCCCAAGCAATTGTATTTGGAACTGGGTTTGTTGTGTTCACAAAATTCATGGAAACAAAAAATATGCTGTTAAATCAGGCGATTGGCCTCTAAAATTTTAGTCCATTTAGAAAAACGCTTGTGTTTCAGACTTTTTAAAACTGTTATTTTTGACTTGTTACGAAATGGCAAGAGCAGGTTTTTGAAGTGATTTATAAATTTCTAAACATAAATAAATTAAGAAGAGTGATTCATTACCAGATCCATAAATTCAGACCCATTGCTCAGCACTGGATTATAGTACCTTTGAAAGGAGTGAGTCTTCTTGAAAATAATCTTACAAGCTTGGCACATCTCCTTTAACCCTTGTAATTTTTCTTTCAAGCTCAGCCTAGTTGGTCAGCAACCATGGCTGCACAGTCATATTCTAAACAATTCTTTTCTGAGAACCTCGATTGGATTCAGATCCTAAGAGGTTTTCTTGGCAATGTGCATCAAGATCCTGAGCACCTAATGGGTTTTAACTCAAATCGTACTATGGGTCAAGGTCACGATTGTCATCTCATGTGTAATAATGAATTGTGATAGATCATGAGCTGCATGAGCTACTACATTATTGATGTGCTGGTTTAGCTTGGCTGGTCAACCAGGTCTACAAAGATGTTTATGAAATCGTGAAAACATATCAAGGACAACTGACAGAGCCAGTGTGAACCATAATAAGTTTCTCTATTGTGAGACAGTCTGTAAAGATTATTCATTTGAATCAATCAGCAAAATACCCTTAAATTCATTTTGGGAGTATTTTTACTTTGTTTGTCAGTCTGGAGTGGTTTATGGAGACTGACAACACAAGCAATCAAAAGTTGAAAGGGTGCACCGCATTATGCTGAAAAAGCATGCATTTCTTTATAAGGCCACTATTTTGAAGTCTTTCAAAATTTCTTGTAAAACAGCATGTTACTGTTACATTATGCTTGTTGACTCGGGCAGCACAGAATCATGGTGGATGTCTTTTAGAGTTCTGTATTAATCTTGATGTGCTTTGAAATCATATAAATGTAAAAACCTCACATTATCAAACCAGGTGGAGCCATTCAACTCCACAACTGCACAGCATGATTGCAGTTTGCAAGGCAGAATGACTGGTGGGGAAATTTAACTGAGGTTTTGTGTGGCATCAGTTTTAATGCGCTCTGCTTCTTTTTCTGCAGGGAGCAGACAGAGGAAAGGGCAGATGTGATGGGACCTATAGGAATGAAAGATATTTCAAGTGTGACAAAAACTGTGGAATTTTTGCCCCATTCAACAGAGTCAGCTCTTTATTACCCCCTGTCCAAAAGCCATCCCTTCAGACAGAAGGGCTACAGTTGGGAGACAGAGTCACTTACTTTGTCGATGATAAATGTCGCCATGGAATGGTGCTGGCTTTACTGGAAATGGATGGACGATGTTTCGTTCAGATCTCCACAGTAAGTAAATTCCAGGGTTTTTTTATTCCAAAATCAAATCAAACGTAATTTTGTGCCATGAATCCACATAGATTATTCTACAAAATCAGATTTTTATTGTTTTAAAGAAATAATAACAAATAATAGAGACTAAGATATTACCGCTTTAAATTGTAAGAAGACTCTTTGTTATGAAACACACCTGAGCTTTACTACATCATCATTTCTTCAAGTAAAATAAATCACTTAATTACATTTCTATTGACGATTTAGAGGAGCTAAAGCATTTACCTCTCTGTCCTTGCATCAGCAGCTGTGTGTCTGAACCTAAAGCAGACACACATGTACATAACTTTACTGCTTCAGTTGTGCCATACAGTATGGTGTACTGCTGGACTGGTGGATTTTGCTTTGTTTACAGAGTCCCACTGTAAACTGGGTCTAACTGGCTGAACCCCAGCTTCACATTCTGTGCAGGTCACTCGACTGACAGCTGCTCTGTGTGTGAAAATGAACTTTTGTAACAGAATGCCTTAATTTTTTAATGATTAATAATATAATTGAATTTAGGATATTTGTTCTACAAAATGCATCCAAGTGGCAGAACACGGATACAAAGACCACAGTCTCAAGTTAGATTCATCAGACTGACTAGTGTTTATCTTTGAGTTTACAGTTACAACCAAACTTTCTTAAGAATCTCTAATAAAATTTGAGGCCTTCTTCAGCAGATTTAACGGTGTATAGGACAGTAATATTTCTTTTGTTTCTTGGTGTTTTCAGGACAAAGATGAATCTGGGAAGACGGGGGGTGAAGTTAGAATTCCATTAGAAGAGGTTATCAAAGGAGAGCTGACTGCAGGTTTGAGGTCTTTTTACATGAAGAAGGGTAAAACCCCCTTTTTTTTTCATTTTTTTTTTTCATTTGCATCATGCCTGAGCCAAACACATTTTCCATTGCAGGGGTAGAGAACATGGATGTCGACACACCCCCAGAGGCTGATACAGATTATCTCTATATAGGTCTGAGTTTGAACTCTATGGTAGAAGTGACTCTGGGTTTAGGCAACACATATGGAATTATTCGCTGGATAGGCAAGCTGCCTGATCGAAGCGAAACTATGGTTGGCTTGGAGCTGGTAAGTCTTTACTCATCATCATTTAAAATTGTTTTGCATATTTGTGTTTTAGTTTGCATCTAATGTTGAGTTAAATTTCAGACATTGGTATAATCAGTCCATATTCTGATCTGCAGGAAGACGACAAAGGAGTGAGTGATGGTACCTTTAAAGGTCAGCGTTATTTTGATTGTCCTATGAAGAGAGCCCTGTTTGTGAAGCTGATCTCATGCCGGCCTGACTCACGCTTTCAGAGCACATCATCCAATCACAAAGAGAAAATGCAGCCTGAGGACACTGGTTAGTACAGGATGGACAAACCTACACTCTATGGAAAAATATATTAGGCCACACCTCTTAATCTTAATCTTTGAATTCAAGAGGCCACAGGTATATAAGACTAGCCACGCAGTTTGTTTTTCCAAACATTTGTGAAAAATTTTGTTGGTCTAAAGCGCTCACTGAACTTGAGTGTAGCACTGTAATAGGATGCCACCACTCCAGCAAGTTTGTGAACTTCTTCCTCTTTTAGATGTTCCATGATAATCTATAAGTGTTATTCTTGCAAAGTGCATGTGTTTAGGAACCACAGCAATTAAGTGGATCTGTTGTGTTCCAAAGTTCTTCTGGCATTAACATCAGCACAAAAACTGCCAGGAGCTCCACAGCTGAGCTCCTGTAGATGTAATTAGTAACCCGGTACTTTCTCCCATGTAGTTTACATCCGTCTGGCCTTAAGTGACCCCTGCAGAAAAACAAAAACAAAACAAATCATATTTTGGTGGAGTTGTACTTTTCTGGCAGCAGAGGGAGAATTAGTTTGCAAAAATTAAACTTTGTTTCCTTTTACTTACTTGAAACATGCATTTCTATTTTGTCTTTCTCTATACTTGTCTTTTTTTTTTATAAAGTATCAGTAATGTTTACTGTTTGTATTTTTTAAGCATTTTTAGCAGCATCATTAAATGCAGTGCTGCAGTTGCAAGTTTGTCCAACAGCTGAGTGTAGCACACACCTTACAACAACCATTTGGACATGTATTATATCTGTTATCTGTTTATATACATAACTGAATATTTGCTGTTTATGTTTTGATTTAGTGGATCAAACAGACCACAGTACAGCTGAGTTGCAGACTGTTCCGCCTATGAGCACAGAGCAGGTTAAGCAGCTTCTGACTGGACGAATGAAGGGGGTTCAAGGACACTGTAACTCTTGCTACATGGACGCTGCCCTCTTCAGGTCAGCGTAATAAATTATCCTGTGGTTTAACAGTTTTAAATAATGCACAGCTTCCCCAACAAATGATTTTACCTGTAATGGCTTTTAGCTAACTAGCTAGCTAGCATTGACATCATCATCAGTGCAGATGCCTTGTCCTCCTTCTACTGGTTAGAAATTGTCTGATGGTTTCTCCATTTCTACTATATTGTTGGTATGCCAGCTACTGCAGTTGAATGCTGTACTGTACATTCACCGTGTGGGTACAGAGATGAAACCACTCGTGCATTTAACATAGCAAATCTAATATGAAAGCAGTTTCTTTAACTGCATTTTCAAAGCATACTAAAAGGATTCCAGTCTGACTTTTTATTATATTTTTAAAAATCCATAATGTTAGGGAATGTGCAGTTCTTTATGTTAACTTAGTTTCTTTCTTTGCTTTCAGTTTGTTTTCCTGCTCTTCTGTGTTGGACTCCATGTTGTTCAAATCAACAACACCTCAAGATGCCCCAATTCAGAGAACACTGCTCAATGACATAGTCAACCCCCTCCGCAGGTCTGTGTTTTGATCAAATCATCACATGGATTGCATTTTATTTTTGCTGTTATTAAAGTTCTGTGTGTGCCGTTTGCAGTAATGGCTTTGTGGAAGGAAGACACATCATGAAGCTACGACAGCAGCTGCAGAAACACGGCTACAGCCAATCATTCACCACAGATGAGAAGGGTCTGCTTATCTGGGAAAGATTTTCTGGAAGGCATTTGTTTTGTCTTAAGTGGTTGAGTTTGAAGTATTCATGTTACTTTTGTCTTTCAGATCCAGAGGAGTTCCTCACTGTCATCATGCACCACATTCTCGCCCTGGACCCTCTGCTAAAACTGTACACTTACTATAGCTAAATTACTGGCTCCTGCTGTACTGTATAGTATAATGCATTTTGAGACTCATACCTGGAATGCACACTATTCTTGTGTGTTCTCCCATTTTAGATCAGCTGCAGGTAAAGTGCAGGAGAGTTACTGCTATCAGATTTTCCTGGACCAGAACCACAGACTAGTTCTGCCGACAGTGCAGCAGCTACTAGAACATTCCTTCCACAGTGCAGGTCTTAAGCTGGCAGAGGTGAGTGCACTTCATTGTTAGGCACAAACTTTAAAGTCCCACTTTCACTTTTGTTTTATTGCTTAACAATTAAAAACATAACGATATTTATCAGAATAGAAGGACAATCCTGTATATTAATATTTCAGTTACCAAAAAAAAATGGAAACTGTTTTTTTCCCCCACAGATTAATCCAAAAATGATTTAGCTGTTTTCTCACAGACATGTAATAGACAGACTTGTCATGGTTGGTTCTCCAGTAGATGGCTCTGTGGGGAAGCTTTCTGAGCAGACCACCTGGAATCTGATCACTTGAGCGTATTCAGTCTGTGTGGTCTTTCATCTTATTTCATCGTGCCATCACTCCAGGTGCCGTCCTGCCTCATCCTCCAGATGCCTCGCTTTGGGAAGAAATTCAAGATGTTTGACAAAATCATTCCCTCTCTGGAGCTGGATGTCACTGACCTCCTCTCTGAAGGTCAGATTAAGCATACAAACTCACAGCGACTTGAGTAATTTAACACAGTGAATACAACGCACGGTGTGTTTTTCAGGTCCCCAGCAGTGCATGCTCTGTGGAACCCTGGCACGGGTTGAGTGTGTCGACTGTTTTAAAGATCCCCTTTTCAGCCCGACAGGATTCAAAGTCTTCTGCAAGAAGTGTTCAGAACAGGTTTGTCACATTGTTTTAACACCCGAGTCATTTTGTTTGTCTTTGGCTTAATTTGTCACTGTAGAGGGAATGTATTGACGTCATTTCTCCATGTGAAACCTCCCACCTCACCACAGTTTCATCAGATTTAGCTGCTATTAGGAGGTAGGACTCAGATATAGAGAGGAAACAAATGAAATCACAATCGAGGCTGATCTGTACTGCAAACAAGTGGTCTGTCAGTGTTGAACATGCACTAAAACTAGAACTTTGACTTAATATAGGTCATCAAATTTTAGACCGAAATCCCAGTTGGTTTGAGAGATATTTGTTAGCTACCTGTTTTGATTTTTTTATTATTACTGTATAATTATTGTGTATAATATTGTGTATTTATCTGGCTTTGCAATACATGGTGTTGTTTTCCTTGTCTATATATAAAAATCTATGCTTGGCTGCTTTCTGAATCAGTTTGTGCGCTGAATTGAACAGCAGCTAATTAACTCTGCTCTTGGTGCATTACATCACCTGCTCACCATCTGCTGTTTAACTGTTGGTTCTAGTAAGTACTGCTGAAACACTATATCAGTTCAGTGGCATACTATCAAGCCTCTAAATGAAACACTGTGCTAAATTTGAATATTTTATGAAATATTTAAATTAATTTTTGTCAGACATCAACTAGTGTAGGCTAGTGTATGTGAAGTCTTCCTCCTTTCCTCTTATACATACAGATAGCAGATGAAGGACGTGCACAGATAACTAGGTCATCCACTTAAGTGATGATGTAGTACGTGACTAGAGCTGTGCCTTGTCATGTTGTTGAATGCATACATTTTTACATGATATAAAAATGTCACATCACAATATCTGTGATATAGCAACACCATGACTACAATGACTGAATCCCAAACATATCTAACAGTGAGAGCTGAGTGTGAGGCTCTGATGATGATTTAGTAAAAACCACAATGCTCTGCAAAATGTGCAAGAAAGCTCTTCTGGAGCACCTGCTAGCACTCCATTCAGGAAGAGCAAACTGGATGGTGGTAAAGGAAGGCTGTAAGCAGCTGATCAAGGAAAAATATTTTTCAATTTCAATTTTATTATTGAATTTATTTGTTGTATTTTCAATTATCTCTGTAACATCAAGTGGATGATATTTGGTAAATTAGTTTTTGTGACTTCAGCAACATCGGTGTCATATTCTTTGCCAGAAAAACCAAAATACATCTAACAATATACTTTTAAGCAATAAATTGCAAACATGCTATTTGAATCAAATTTGATACAAATTAAAACTCATAAATAAAAAATTATATAGATATTTTATTTGTTAGAAGTTTCGATAAACACACCATTTTAAATATTTTGAATTTTTCAGCATATATTAGAAGGTTCAGGCTTTGCAGTCTTTCTTTTAAAACACTGCTTCAGCTCATGTTTTATCCATTTTCGCCGTCTTCTTCTTCCCAGATGGTCTAATTTGTCTCTGCCAATAAACCATCAACATATATTTTTATTGAGACCAATTTAGCCCTCATGCTACATTTTTGCACAAGGCTGATGTGCTTTGGGACCTGTAATGCGTGTTTCTTTTTCCCAGTTGTTGTTAGTGGTCTCTCCAGTGTTCGGATTCTCCAGCCTAGGAAAATGTCCCACAGGGTATTTCATTGGAATTGAAAGAATCTGAGGCTTTAAACCTTTAATGGTGCCCCAGTGCTTGTTTGGTTTTGGGAACTAAAGGAGCATTTGGATGCAGAGATAGCTAATAATGTTAGCAGGGATAGCTCAGTAGGTAGAGTGGTTGCCCCATGAAGGTCGGGGGTTCGACTCCACTGAACGGCTACCCTAAGGTAGCAAGGTACCGTCCCTATACACTGCTCCCCGGGCGCTGCATTGGTGGCTGCCCACTGCTTCACTGGGTGAATGGGTTAAATGCAGAGAAGTAATTTCTCTATGGGGACTAACACATACACATTATAATGTCATACTTTAGCTAGGCTAAAGCTGTTTGGGGAGATGTATTTTGTGTTTTGTCCTGTTTCGTCCTGCTTGCTCATTGGTGATTGATTGTAGGGATTGTGTCTATACTATTATAGGATCTTTATTTACAACATTATAGAGTTGTCTCAAATATCTCCTTTGGTTTAGGGATCATTTATAGACAATGAACTAAAGTTACTAATGTAAAATTTAACAGTGGCTATATAGATATAAAATAGTGACTATTTACAGGTCTAATAGTGTGTATGTGTTTTCAGGTACACTCCCATCCTCAGCGTCGCAGCCATAAACCAGCATCCCTGGAAATCCCAAAGGGTTATGTTGGACGTAAAAACCCTCACACTATGATCAGAGACAAAATGGAGCTGTTCGCTGTGCTCTGCATCGAGACAAGCCACTATGTGTCCTTTGTCAAATATGGACCAAACACTGAGGACTGGATCTTCTTTGACAGCATGGCAGACAGACAAGGTAAGCGGGATATTTAATATGCATACACAAGTTAGCTCTGAGTGCACTTTGGCTCACTTGTGTGTATTGCGTTCAGGAGAGATGGATGGCTACAACATTCCAGAGGTGCAGCCCTGCCCCGAAGTTGGTGAATACCTGGAAATGTCCCCCTCCGAGCTGGCCAACCAGGCACCTCGAGATATGAAAGGTGTAGCAAAGCGTCTCTTCTGTGATGCCTACATGTACCTGTATCAAAGCACCACTATGTGCCTCTATCGCTGATGGAACTTGAGCACACTGGACATTTTGCTATTTGTGTAATTTCTTTTTGCTGCATTGTTTTTTTTTTTCTTTTGTTAACATGCAAATATTTTAAATGTGTGTGTGGTGCTTGGGTGCTGGAAAAAAATTATAGTGACAATAATTTTCTAATATGGCATGAAGTAGAGGATAAACTGACATTGCTTTCTAAGTAATTTGCACTATAATCTGAAGAAAATAATTACTGGCTTGCAGCATGTGTTGGACATAAATTACATATTGCACTGTAAAAATAGTTTTACAGTTTACTGCTGATGTTTGTAATTACTTTTAATTTTATTTACAGCTTGTATAGTGAAAGTAAATGAGTTTTGCTGATGAAAAACCCTTCAAAGTAGACAGTAGTGATGATTCAGTATGGTTCATTAAGAATGCCATCTAACCAGCTCTATTTTAAAAGCTTATGTTATATGCTGCTGTTATTTTGGCATCAGATTTGGATGTTGGCTGGATTTCTTTATATATTTAGATATATTTTTTTTTATCTTCTGGTATTTAAATTTCACACCTGAAAATGAAACGATGATTTTATTCTTGACAAAGATGTTTCTGTTAGCAACCAAAGAGACGAAAAGATGTTGGGAATAATATCACAGTGGAAAACTGTGCTTGACTGGCTGCTTGGGAGTCCTGGTTGAACTTGTGACCTTTTTCTATTTTTTACTATTACTACTTCTGATATTCAGTAAAATAGATGTCATAAATAAATAAATGCAATCAATAAAACCTTTCATCGTCTGTCTTTACTAAAAGAGTAGGACATACAGTGTGCTGATACACATACAGCTTCACAACTATGCAACCTCCACCAACCACGCATCAACCATTTTACCCCAGTGACCGGTGATTTCCAGGCATTTGCTGACTAGTGTCTAGGCCTGTTCAACTGACACCGTATTCAGGAATTTTAACATGTGGGTCCATGAGGACTGACTTCCTTTTGGAACCAGCCTCAACTATCCATTAGAGGTCATCGGAAGGTTGCCGGTTCGAGCCCCGGCTCTGACAGTCTCCGTCGTTGTGTCCTTGGGCAAGACACTTCACCCGTTGCCTACTGGTGGTGGTCAGAGGGCCCGGTGGCACCAGTATCCGGCAGCCTCGCCTCTGTCAGCGCACCCCAGGGCAGCTGTGGCTACACTGTAGCTTGCCATCACCAGTGTGTGAATGTGTGGATGAAATGTAGTGTAAAGCACTTTGTGGTCCTTAGGGACTAAGTAAAGCGCTATACACATACAGGCCATTTACCCATTTAAAAACATTTGTTTCTCTGTTTCTTTCTCCCGAGGGTAAGCTTGCATGCCTAAGTCTTGACACGTTTTTTTTTTTTCTTTTTTTCCACTTTGAGCCTGAACATAGTTTCACAGGATGTAAAATATATATTTTTTAATATCACACAGCATGTTCAAAAGGTTAACTTGTGTTGTCTCTTTAAATTATTCCTTTCAAATTATTCTTTTCACACAATAAATAGCCATACTGTTATTCACGTTTCCTTCACTGTCAGTGATCTCATTAACAATGCTTTTCTTTCTCACTTCATTGATGTTAGTGTTTCTTTAAGTGAATAAAAAAAATAGTGGAACGCAGAACGAGCAGGGAAATAACACCTCAGAGTCTTACAGTCAGATCCTAGCTGGAATCTAACATACCTGTTGTAACTACACGGACAACAAAATACTGCTATTGTTGACCTTGAAGTGTACTTGGTAGTCCAACAACTGCCGCTTCACTCAGTTCATCAGTCCAACTCTGGGTGTACTACTACTTGCTGTGATGTGAATACACGCAAGTTTTTCTTCCATTAAAGTGCAAGCGTCTCCTCAGCTCTGACTCCTTCTATCTCATCTTTCTTTCAGTCGGTGCCTAACTGGATATTTGTCTTCGTTCCGGATGCTTTTGATCCTGCTGCCTACCGTGCTTCCCCTTCATCTTGCTGTGATCAGCTCTCTGAATGACCTCTACATTAGTTAGGAGTGCTGCGCTGAGCTGTGCTTTGTGATGAGTCGGATTCTTTGGTATACTCGAGGGCACGGATGGCTGCAGCAGTTAGGGCAGCCTTGAGTCCTAATACATGGCCCTGCAACTCAACAACACAGGCTCCGTATAGTCAAACATACTCAGCATATTCAAGCATATTTGCTATTATGCAAAAAAGTATAGATTCTGCAAGTGTGTGTTTACATAAAGAAGACAGTTGTGCTTGTCTGAGCAGTATAGCTGAACTGTTCCTAGGCTTTTTGAAAGAAGATATTAACTGCATAATAAAACACACAGAACCTAAAGCAGCAGACCTTTTTCCTATCAAAGTCAGCATAACATTTCTAGTCAGGCTATGCTGGAGAAAAACAATGATCAGACAATCTCAAGTTATGCGCTTGCTAGGGATGGTAATTGATAGGGGTTTAATGATACTAATGCCATTATCGAATATGCTTATTGATTCAGTTCTTTTTTATCAATTGCCATATGGTTTCTTGACCAAGTTTTATATAAGGAAACGAGTAAACGCCAGCTACTGGTAGACAGAGCAGTCAGCTGAGACTGCAAGACTAGTCTAACTAACCTGTGCACTGCCTGGATTGATTACAAGAAGGCCTATGACTCTATGCCCCATACCTGGATCCTGGAATGCCTAGAATTGTACAAGGACCCAACATCAACAGGACCCTAAGAGCCTTCTTCAGGAACTCATTGGGGATGTGGTGGACAACACTAGAGGCCAACTTCAAGCCCATAGCACAAGCCAGCATCAAGTGCAGGATCTGCCAAGGAGATGTGCTGTCCCACTGATGTTCTGCCTGAAGCCCCTCAGTGAGATCATTGGAAAGACTGGCTATGTATCCCTACTATGGAACAGAGTAATTGTCCTGAGGTCTAAATGGGAGACGCCCCCTAGGGTGGTTGAGAATGACCAAGCTAAGATCCTGTGGACTTCCAGATACAGTTGGACAAAATGGTGGTGGCTAATTAACTGGACATAGTAGTGGTGGACAAGCAGCAGAGGAAAACATCTGTAATGATAGATGTAGTAATACCAAATGATAGCAACATCAGGAAAAAGGAACAGGAGAAGCTGGAGAAGAACCAGGGGCTCAGAGAAGAGCTGGAGAAGTTGTGCAGGCTGAAGGTAACAGTGCTCCAAGTTGTAATTGGAGCACTTGGTGCAGTGACCCCCAAGCTAGGCGAGTGGCTCCAGCAGATCTCAGGAAAGATACTGCGCAAGAACCCTCCCAGGCCTCTGATAGAGGACCCGAGCTTGAAGGATAAAGTCCGCCTGCAGGGGCGAAAGGGGAATTTATATATAGGTGGTGTGAATTATTAAGGGGGGAAAAAATCCAAACCTACATGGCCCTGTGTGAAAAAACAACGACTCAGCAATGACTTACAGAAAAGTGGAACAGTGGTGAACCTTCCTAGGTGTGGCCAGCCAAAATTACCCCAAGAGCACAGCGAAGACCCCAGAACAACATCCAAAGAACTGCAGGACTCACTTGCCTCAGTTAAGGTCAGTGTTCATGACTCCAACATAAGATTTGGCAAAAATGGCCTGTATGGCAGAGTTCCAAGATAAAAAAAAAAAAAACTACTGCCCAGCAAAAGGAACGTAAAGGCTCATCTCAGTTTTGCCAGAAAACATTTTGCTGATGTTAGGGAAAATACTCTGTGGACTGATGAGGCAAAAGTTGGACTTTTTGGAAGGTGTGTGTCCCCAGGGCAGCTGTGGCTACAACCGTAGCTTGCCTCCACCAGTGTGTAAATGCAAGAGTGAATGAATATTGGATTTTTAAAGCGCTTTTGGTGCCTTGAAAAGCACCATATAAATCCAATCCATTATTATTATTATAACATCTGGCTAAAAGTAACATAGCATTTCAGCAAGGGAACATACCAACAGTAAAATATGGTGGTGATAGTGTGATGGGCTAGGGCTATTTTGCTGTCTCATGACCTGGAAGGTTTGCTGTGGTAAATGAACCATGAATTCTGCTGTCTACCAAAACATCCTGAAGGAGAATGTCCAGCGATCTGTTTGTGACCTCAAGCTGAAGCACACCTCAGGTCTGCAGCAGGACAATGATCCAAAATACACATCAGAATGTCCACCTTTGAATGGCTAAAGAAAAACAAAATGAAGACTTTGGAGTGGCCAAGTCAAAGTCCTGACCTGAATCCGATTGAGATGCTGTGACATAACCTTAAAAAGGTGGTTTATGCTCAGAAACACTCCAATGTGGTTGAATTACAACAAATCTGCAAAGATGAGTGGACCAAAATTCTTTCACAGGGCTGTAAACGACTCTTGCCAATTATTGCAAATGCTTGATTACAGTTGTTGCTGCAAAAGGTGGCCCAACCTATTATTAGGTTTAGAGGTCAATTTTTCACACAGAGCCATGTTGGTTTGGATTTTTTTTCCCCCTTAATAATAAACACCTTCATTTAGAAATTGCATTTTTTGTTTATTCGTGCTATGTTTGTCAAATATTTAAATTTGTTTGATGATCTGAAAGTGTGACAAACATACAAAAACAGGAAATCAGGAAGGGGGCAAACACTTTATTCACATCACTGTATGGACAAACAAGGACTACTGAAATTGATGCGTCCTTTTTGTTTTATTTTAATAAATGGTTTAAATTTATTAGCTGGATGACATTCTCTTCTTTGCTGATACCTAGAAAAGACAGGGCCAGATCTCACCTCACGCTACATTCAGTGGTGGTTAAATGAGATTCTTCTTCAGCATTTTATCTATTGTACATATTAACCGGCATCTGTGTGTGGACAGCAGAGAAAGAATTTCATTGTACAGAGAAATGCTTTTTCTTGGTACACATGACAATAAACGCTTTGAATCTTCAGTGGCTGCCATGCAAGCATGAGTAGACAAACACTGTCCACCATTACCAGCACTACACTCTGTAAAACATGGTGTTTACTGGTTATCCTTTTCCGATCTGAACACATTCATCTTCTCTGTGTTTAGTCAGGAAGCTTCCAACAGGAAGAACACCAAATATCCTTCTTAATTGACTGGAAATCGCTGTGATGTCTTTCTCCTGAGCCTCTTGACAGCAGGATATGACAAATCAGCGAGAGTCACATCATGAAGAACTTACTGTGTCATTTCAACTTCATTCTGTCTTAATGTATTTAATTTTTTATTAAACTAAATATTTTTTTGTTATTTTATACATCAGAGTTTTTCAAATTCTGATTATGCCAGTTTTTTGGCCACTTTTCTTTAAATAAATCACTTACTTAACACATGCATTAAAGGCTTTTACGTACATCTGCATTCGGCTGTGAGTCCTACTTTTAATACAAAAAGTTCCTCTTTACCCATGAGAAAAAGGCTTTTATTGCTCCCTGTCTCCATAGCACGTCAGTTATGGCTTTCATACCCATATGCTCTTCCAATTATTTATCAGTATTAACATTCATAAATGTGTCATTAGAGCACACATGCTGGCCTAATACAGTGTTCTTTATGGGTTGGGAAGGTTTTGGCTGTCATCCCAGCCTGACATTCATCCGCAACAGTGGATGTGATGATCTTTAGATAATTTTTTAGATAATCTTTTTTTTTTAATTTGTATGTCAGCTCCTGTGGGACTCTGATCTGCATCCATCTATAAACACTATTAGCTGGCGATGTTACATCTGCATAATTTAACGATGGAAAGGTTAACTCTAGCCCTGTAATTTGCAGCTTCAAATTTTCT